CCCTTCAGGAACTGTATCCCAGTGAGAGTCAGCACCTTCAGGAACTGCATCCCAGTGAGGGTCAGCATCTTCAGGAACTGTATCCCAGTGAGAGCCAGCCCCTTCAGGAACTGCATTGATGGGTCAGTGCTGGGGGAGTGTCGCAGTGTCGGAGGGTCAGTGGTCAGGGAGTGCCGCACTGTCGGAGGGTCAGTACTGAGGGAGTGCCGCACTGTCGGAGGGTCAGTGCTGAGGGAGTGCTGCACTGACAGAGGTTCAGTGCTGAGGGAGCGCTGCACTGTCGGATGGTCAGTGCTGAGGGAGTGCCGCACTATCGGAGGGTCAGTGCTGAGGGAGCGCCGCACTGTCAGAGGTTCAGTGCTGAGGGAGCGCCGCACTGTCGGTGGGTCAGAAGTGATCATGTGCACGTGTGTGTGTGTGTGTGTGTGTGTGTGTGTGTGTGTCTGCGTAGTTTTGTTACCTTTTTTACAAACAGTATCATAATCCTCGCAGCAGCTCCTGTAGAATTTGCACAAGTTGTCACACTGACATTTCACCAATGGAGTGAAGCTCTGGTCACAGCGACCAACGCAGGACCCTGTACAACAACAACCACATACTGACTGTAAATCATCTGAACCAGTTTCTATCACAACACAGGCAGCCAATGAAACCAGTCACTTTGTGAAATACCAAACAGAGCAGCCATTTTGTGCACTGTAAGATCTCACAAACAGTGGCTTGGTGGATAGGTAGTTGAGGGATCCAAAGCACTTGCTGATCTGTGATTAGTAACATGGAACCTTTCACACTCAGTGGAATACACAGATGGCACTACAAGTTAACATCTTATCTGAAATATACAAGATTCTTAGGGTAGATACGGAAAGGTTGTTTTCCCTTGATGGCGTGTCTAGGACCAGAGGCATCATTTCAGAACAAGGCGATCAAAAGTGAGGAAGAATTTCTTCTCAGAATAATAGAGTCATGCAGCACGGAAACAGACCCTTCGGTCCAACTCATCCATAATTCCAAACTCAACTCGTCCCATTTGCCTGTGTTTGGCCCATATCCTTTCCTATTCATGTACCTGTCCAAAATCTTTAAATGTTGTAACTGTATTTGCATCTACCACTTGCTCTGGCAGTTCATTCCACACACTAAGCACTCCCTGTGTGAAAGAATTACTCCCAGGACCCTTTTAAATCTTTCTCCTCTCATCTTAAATAAATGCTCGCTAGTTTTGAACTCCCTTACCCGGGGAAAAGACCTTGGCTACTCACCTTATCTATGCCTCTCATGATTTTATAAAGCTCTATAAGGTCACCCCTCAAACCTCTACATTCCAGTGGATAAAGATCCCAGCCTTTCCAGCCCCTCCTCATAACTCATACCCTCCATTCCCAGCAACATCCTGGTAAATCTTCTTTACACCCTCTCCAATTTAATAATATCCTTCCTATAGCAGGGCAACCAGAACTGTCCACACTACTGGGCTGTCAATGTACTAAGTATATCCAAGGCAGATTTTTAATTAGGAAGGGAATCGAGGGTTAATGGGGAAAAGGCAGGAAAGTGGAGTTGAAGTTTATTAGATCAGTGGGATTCGCCCCTAACCTTCTGACCCAAAGCAGGGTCTAGCCTCTGAGCCTTCGATGTCATTGTTTCTGATTTATCTTTTCTCTCTGTTCTGTGTAGATCGACACTGCTGTTTGAATTTCTCTATCTGGGGAGAACTTACTGTTTTATAATAGGAACCATTCACCCTTCATCTGTCATTTAATCCCAATGGCTAAAACTGCAGCTGCTTTCGATGACACAACCTCAAGAATTCTGTTTCCAGTTTGGCAGGAGGGTACTCTGAAAGCTGCCTTTTACCAGCCTATTGAGCAGTTGTAATAGAGACCCCTTTGCATTAGAAACCACTCATCACCTTCCAATGATCTCTACCATCTGCAAGGTCAAGGATGGCAGGTTCATGGGAGCACCACTACTTACAAACTTCCCTCCAAGCCACGCACAGTCCTGACTTGTTACTATCGCTGATCCACACCTATCACACAATCATAAAACTCCTACAGTGTGGAATAAGGGCATTTGGCTCACCAAATTGCTGGGTCAAACTGTGGAACTCCCTCCCTGACAACACTATGGGTCTACCTACACCACAGACACAGTTGGTCATTCAGGAAGGTAGCTCACCACCCCCTTCTCAAGGGCAATCAAGGATGGGCAATAAATGCTGGCCTGGCCAGCGATGTCCACATCCTGAAAAAGAATGTTCACAAATCTTGCTCCAGAGTGAGTCCATTTCTGTGTCAGTTATTGCTTTATCCAAACTCCCTGGTTTAGGAGGAGCTACCACTGCCAACAGAGATCAGGAAATTCAGAAAGCAATTGCCTTACCTCGATCAGCAGATACAGTGCTGAGGAAGGAGCAGGCAAGAAGTACAATCATGGGCTTCATAGCTGAAGAGAAGATTCTGCTGAAGCCTGTAATTAGAATTTAGGATTTAACCAGCTTGTGTTTGGCTTTTCAGGACACTTTGTTTAAACTATTCTATTGATTTTAAGTAATGTTTAATGGTTGACACAACAATCTCATCGATTTTCCTTCAAGTCCAACCATATGAACACACGTCTGTTTATCTTGTTGTACCCTCTGCTCCTGAAACCCAACATTTAGCCCAAATCTTGGTGTGTTGGCAATTCCAAACAGGACTTTTCGGTAAATGTTTTTAAATAAACATACTGTTCCCCTGTAAATCATTAATTGTTAATCTTTACTGACTCAGCAACATTTCTGTTTCATGAATTGCATAAGATATCAGTCAGGTCAGAGTTTGAGAACTCAGGGCAGTTTTGGGTGCTGGATTACAGGAGGAACATTCAAGTTCTCATGCTAGTGTTTAAGCACTTTAAACCAGGGCCAAAATTATACTTGTTATTGCGCTGCTGTTCCAATGTGAATTGAAAATTCTGCCGAAACTCATTCATAGAATTACAAATGTGCAATCCTCTATGCACCAGTGCTACTGGGAGTGTAAGAAAATATAATTCTCTGATTTCTTTCCATTAACAAGTGAAGTATTTTAAGAGCGGTGACTTGGTATGGTTAATCCAGCTGGAAATGAGTGTATTACAAATTATGATAAAGTCTCCAATCCAACAGTTTTAGTGGTGGTAGTGTGTTATGTTAATTCAGGGAATCTGACAATCTCTGAGATTCTGTGGCAACATACATTTTCACATGAATTTTGATGTCTGCAGCTATGGATGGTGATGGTACAAACTCCATTTTCTTTCTATGGCACATATGGCCACGCATTTCTCTCCCACTCTTAGCACTTGCCAATTGTCATGAAGGGGAAGGGTTTGCAACGTGTAATGAAACAACTTTCTTTGGCCGTTTAAATCCTGGTTGGGACTCAAATGCTGATCTTCTGACTGAGAGGCAGGGACACTACTTGTTGTTCCATAAGCTCTCCAAGGCAGGAGGCAGTGGTGGACCATTAATGCCATTGGACGAGTAAACCAGAGGCCTAGACTCTGGCAACATCAATTCAAATCCCACCACAGCAACAGGTGTAATTTAAATTCAGTTATAAATCCAGAATTTTAAGATAATAAGGAAATAGTGATCATAACAACTATAATCGATTGTCATAAAATCCATACAGGACTGATGTCCTGTAAAGAAGGAAATCTGCTGTTCTTATCTGCTCTGGCACTGTAAAACTTCAGGGTTCACAATTTAACAATACACAGTCAGCCATTTAAGTTTGAGATAAACAGGAATGTCTTCACCCAAAGAGCGAAGAGCCTGTGCAATTCTCTGCCGCCACAGAAACCTGTTGAGGCCAAAACATTGAATGTTTTTAAGGAGGTGTTATATATTGTTCTTAGGGTTAAAAGGATCAAAGGGAGAAAGCAGAAAAGGGGACTGAGTTGAGTCATCAGCCATGATCATATTGAATGGCATAGCAGACCCAAAGGGCTGAAAGGCCTATTCCGGCTTTGATATTCTATGTCTCACATCAATCTGATTCCACAGTAATGTGGTTGATTCTTAACTGTCACCTGACCCAACAGGACAATGGGCAATACATGCCTGCTTTAACAACAACGTTCCCATCCCACTAAATAATAAGTTACTTGCTTTTAATTCTCTGAGAATGACTTTGAGTTTCAGTTATGGGGAGAGGCTGGATAGGCTGGGACTTTTTCATTGGAGTGTAGCAGGTTGAGGGGTGATCTTATGGAAGTTTATAAAATCATGAAGGGCATGGATAAGGTGAATAGCCGATGTCTTTTCCCTAGGGTGGGGGATTTCAAGACCAGGGGGCATGTTTTTAAGATGATAGGAGAAAGATGTAAAAGGGACATGAGGGGCAACTTTTGGAGAGTGGCTCGAGTGTGGAATGAACTTCCAGAGGAAGTGGTAGTTTGTGGGTACACTTACAACTTTTAAAAGACATTTAGATAAGTACACGAATAGGAAAGGTTTGGAAGGATATGGGCTAGGAGCAGGCAGGTGGGACTAGTTTAGTTTGGGAGTACTGTCAACATGGACTGGTTGGACTAAAAGGTCCGTTCCCATGCTGTATGACTCTATGACTTTACAGAGCTATATCAAACCATTTTATTGGCACATATCTTAATGAATTAAATATTTGCCAACATGGAAAATGCTTTCTGCTGTGTCCAGAAGTGTCTTTAACATAAAAGGAAAGGTTAATGTAAAGAGGGTCTTCAGGAACAGTTACACCTCCAGAAACCTCACCGTCTCATTTTCTCAATTGGCAAGTCTTGCGAAGAACTAGAGATTCCAGCTTTGTGAGAATTTATTTTTTTAACTAGGATTAAAATCATGAAAACTCGATTTGAAAACAATTTAATTTGTGCTTACACCTGTGATTGCTTGTGGCAGCCTGATCAATTTTAGCAGAATGTGCCTAGTTCAAACAAATGCAAAATCTAATGGGAATCAAGCCCCGATATGGGTAAATTGTAGTTATATTAGAGCTGGATAAAACACTGATTCAGCCTGAACTGCAGCACTGTGTCCTGTTTCAGGCAGCACACACTTTAGGAAAGATGCGAGGAGATGAGAGAAGGTGCAGAAAAGATTCACAAGAAGGAGCCCAGGGATGAGGAGCTTCAGTTACATAGAGAACTTGAGAAGTTAGAACATTTCTGCTCAAGTTAGAAGTTTTCCTCAGAGAAGGCTGAGAGGAGATTCATTTGGCAGAGATCATGCAGAGTCTGGACAGAGGAGATGGGCAAAACTGATCACACTGGCTGAAGGATCAAGAATGAGCAGGCACAGACTTAAGTTAATTGGCAAATGAAGTAATGGTGATATCAGGATAAACTTTTTCAGCGGAACACATTGCCGAATAAGTGGTGGAGGCAGCTTCAATCAAGGCTTTCTAAAGGGAATTGGGTATTATCTGAAAAGGAAGAATTTGCAGGGTTTCTGAGACGAGACAGGAGGTAGCACTAAGTCAATTGCTTGTACAGTACAGAAATGACGGGCTGAACTGCCTGCCCTGTGCTGGACCCATTCTGAGATCCTGTGGACTATTTCTACTGCAGCAGGGAAAGCTGAGAGGGTATTTAAATTACTTTGGATTTTGATGAAGTACAAAGAGGGAAAAGCTATTTTCTCTGGTCAAAGGACTTAAAAAAGATCATCAATTTAAAGTTGTCAGTAGCATTCCTTCACACACAGAAGATTACCAGACAGACCGGTTGAAATAGAATAGAATAATAATTTATTGTCAATCTTATTGTTCCAAAAATACAGTCAAATGTGTTTTAGTTGCCATATTCTGGCACCTATATTAACAGAAATCATACACAAAAAGTTGCAGTTATGAAAACAAAATTGTCAAATATTTCAATAAAAATAGACAGGAAAATTTGTATTTGACCACAGGATCACTGAAGACACGAGGACAAATAATCACATTTATAACAGAGGAACAGCTGGATCATCGAGAGGAGCCGAGGGCAGTGAAATTCATTTCAGATTAACATCAAGTAGAGAACAGCATGGAGCATTTGTTTAGAAATTCCTAACAATGCAAATCATAATCCCACTAATGGCACTGATCTGTATCATTCGCTGATGGTCCATATTACCTTCAATTTATTTCAGAGATTAGGTTACCTTCCATTCAGACAGTATCAGATTGGAACTTCGGTAACCCAGATTCACCTTGTATAGGAACCCAAACCCCAGAGTCAGTGTGTTTGGGACAGTACCCCAGTGAGAGTCAGTGTGTTTGGGACAGTACCCCAGTGAGAGTCAGTGTGTGTGGGACCGTACCCCAGTGAGAGTCAGTGTGTGTGGGACTGTACCCCAGTGAGAG